GGAAGGGACCAGGGAAAGGAGTGGAGGATAAACTAAAGGACAAAGTTCAGTTTCAAAAAGCTGTTCTGCCACATCTTGCTTAGAAAACTGTTAAGGTATCCAAAGACTGGGAATATAAGGAGATAGATGAAATTAGCTCAATGGAAAAAAAAAGCCTAATGATAAATAAACATCTCGGGACAAAAAGAAAGAACAAAGCAAAACTTCCTGTATTTCTTTTTTAAACATGAGTCACAGTCACTTCCCATTCTCCATTCTCCTTGTCAGATTTCTATAAAAAATTCAAAATAAAATTGAATTTTTAGGTGATACAGGTCTCAGAGTTTTGGAGATTTTGCTCTCCCGCCAAGCTTCCTCTTTCCGTTTTTAGGACTTGAGTCTTAAACAAGTAAAAAAGAAATAGATTTCTATTTGGACAAGAAATGAAGCTATAGAGTAAACCCATTATCTTCCTTTCCTTTGTAAAGCTTTTTGTTGTGAGACTGTAGATAGTTTGGTAAGAAAAAGAAATTCTAACTCATGATTCTATGACAAAAAAGGAAATATAAAGATCCTTTTCCTAATTCAGTCTTCTACCACCTGAAGGGAGTCCAGTTCTTAAAAGGTACTTCACAAAAGAAGACTGTTTTCAACACAAACTAGATTTTAAGAAACCTTGGTGTTTGAATGTAAATGAAAAAGCTAACAAGACATTTTCTAACCTTAAAGTATACTAAAAGGTTTACTTTTTCAAGAATTTCAATGTATGGGAAATTTGACTTATATTCCATTAAACTAAGGTGTGAAACTATCAGTTTTAATGAGTAAGCAAAACTGTCATGTTGCTATATATTTCTGACATTCCATATCTGAGTTTTAAAGACTATGTAATATTAGGACGTTAATTGTAAAATTATAAAAGTTTCCTTTCGCATCTTTAAATGAACATACTTTATAAAAGAGACCTTATCAATATGAAAAATCCTAAGATTGTGTGCATTTCATAGATATGTATTCATATTTTATCTATTTTGTGGCTGTTAGAGAATGTATTTTTTATTGTATATTCAAATAGAATTCTGTCATTCTCTTTTATATTTCTCTTCAAAAACGCTATACTATGTTCAATCTCTAATATATATTTATGTGCTCATACATAAATGTAGATATATATTTGAACACACAGACACACACATACATAGTCTTAGGACAACTATTTTACTCATGCCTCTTAAAATGACAGGATTTCAAAAAGTGACTATGTTCATTTAAGTTCACATCATATGTAAGGTTCTTTGTTTGGTTCGTTGTTTAGAGAATTCTTGATAATTTCGACTCTTCCACAACGAAAAGTAAAGTGTTCTGTCACAAAAGCAGGGAGGATGAGATACAAGGTCAAAGGGCATTTTAGAAACAAACAGCTGGACCAGTTTATTTAAACAGATAGAGGGATGGGCGAGCTGACCTCAGTTTGACTTATAGTGGGAGGAGCAAGAATGTCATTTTATTACTTTGCCCAGAAGGAAAATGTTTTTGTATCTGAATTTACCCTGAAGCAATCTAAATATGACTCTGTGTATGTAGCATAATTCCAAAAAGCGAGGACATGTAAAATAGTATGAGATGATGATATAATACACTAAAGATAATCAAGTATGGAGATAGTCTAAGATCAAAAAGGTGATGTTGTTTTAAAAAATGAAATATTTTGCTATTTGCCTATTTTCAGATAGATGTCCATCATGACCCCAAATAATAACTTGTTCATGTAAGTATAGTAATTGCAATTCAGTAGCATTCTAAAAGATTACTACATCCTATATCAACTAAATCTAAAAGATTACTACATCCAGTACTAATATTTCATTATTTTGAATTTTTAAAAATTAAGTGTTTCAAAAGTAAGAAGTTGCAGGTGGACCTACTAAATGTGGTTAGACAGCTCAGAAAAAGTGATTAGGTTTTCTCAGGTTTTCAGTGTTTCTGTTTTTGTTTTGTTTTTAATGAAAGGTTTCCCACTTTGGCATCTACATAGTCTACGGGTAGCTTATTACATCTGTGGTCTTAATAACAACAAACAGTTTTTGCCACCTAAAAAGAAGCAAATAACATCTAGTACCTGTGGGCACTTGGCTAAGAGGCTCTGGTATTTTTTTGTATTTATTTGCTTTCTTCCTGGGGATCAGAGCAGGCCTGGAATAAATGTCGTTGGGTTGTCCACTGTAATACTTCAGGAAGACACAAGCAAAGATCAGCCTACTGAGCAGAGTGACCCAGGTGTTGATGGACTCAAGATGCTAGAAAGACTCACATTCCAGAAGGCACTTTTTAAGAATCACTAATGTTTAACCTAAGGATTAGAGAGAGGGGAGAAACCTATAGGCATAATGGCTATGTTTAACTATTTGACAGGCTATCCTATGGAAGTAAAATTGGAATTGTTTAAAGTAACTCAAAGAGCTGTACTGGTGAAACTATTAGGCTGGTGCAAAAGTAATTGCTGTTTTTGCCATTCAAAGTAATGGCAAGACCAGAATTACTTTTGCATCAACATAAATATTTTTGATCAAGTAAGGCAGAGTCTTCTAACAGCCTTGTTTATAGATGGAGTGGACTCTCAAGTAAGGTGGTGAGTGCTGTATTAGTTCAGCAGAGGTTATCTTTTTGGGGAGAGATATCATACAGGGGATTCATGTCAGTGACCAAACGAGGTGACTATTAAAGTCCTTTCCAAACCTGAAGTGTAATTATTTAAAAATGACCTCATGAGTTTAATAGCCACAGACTCAAACCTGAGTTGATTATTCTGAATTAGTCTACGGGAGTCTGAATATGTGAGTATGATGGAGACAAGCTTTGGAATATAGATAAATTAAGTCACTGTAACCTCTCTCTGTTTGATTGCCTTATCATTGTCTTTATACACAAACAGTACAGCCATCAAAATTTTTAACTTAAAAAATGTTCACAGTCATGCTTATTCCTTGACTAAACACTGGGGTTGCTGCCAGTGGTAACTGGCTCAAAACCAGCTAATTTTATGTATCTATTTAGTCTGGATATTCTAGATGAGTGGCACTAGTGGCAGTGCTCTGGTCACCACACCAGAAAGAAGGGTGCTTGCTACCACTGACAGCTGTGTGTCATTTAGCAAATTATTAACATCTCTTTGGTAACATGTGACCTCAAAAAAGTGACTTAATTTCTCTGAGCCCAGGCTTCTCATCTGTTAAAAATGGCTCTTCCTATTTTTAGTTAAGTAGTATAAGTCATATCCATAAAAGATTATGTTTTTAAAAAGTCTGGAAAAAGAAAGTTCATAGACAGAATTCCTTCCCTCTAAGAGTCTGCAGATTATGAACAGTACCATAGATAAAGAGATGTTTTTGCTCTCTTACCTACATTAGTTACTATGAAAATTACTTTTGGTATATGCAGAATATTAATATTAAATAATTTTCTAATTGGTCATGCAGTGAAGGCAGCTAATGAAAAAGCAGACTTTTTTTCACTTTAATTGGTTATTTCACATGGTGTTTGTGCTACACCTGTGCTTATAATGAGAATGGAGAATTAATCTAACCTTCTGCTCACATGATTCCAATTTTCATGGTTTATACAAGATAATGATAACCTGATTTGCAACACAATTTGTTGTAGATCTGTGTTTTAAATATTTTTATTAGCAGTTCAGGGACTTCATATACAAGAGCTGATATAATATGTGTTGCCAACAAGAGTTAGCACCAACAGCATACCTTTTAGTTAGATTCCAGTTTCATTATTTGTTTTAATTACTTCTCAGATAATGAAAGAACATACAAATACAGGATATTGAGAATCTTAAAATGTTATGAAGTATGCATTTTTGTTTTGAAAACCTGTCTCTGTTTGTTTAATGGTTTGGTTTTTAGGAACTATTTTCCTTTCTGAAGTGGGCACACTTATCTAGAATTCACACTGGACTGTGGATCCTTTAATTATTAATAGAGCCTTATTAAACTTTTCATTGTATTTTTTTACATCCTATTCAGATTTGATATGAGTAGAAACTAAAAGCAACTTATCATTTCAGAATCTAATATGTCATCTTCATTTTCTGGATTTGATATTTAATTCTTAATATTATGCAGTACGAATGGATCTTAAGAGAATCTCATGAGTATGACTCTGGAGAGCTTATATTAACTACTTTTTTACATTTCAGTGTCTAGTCACTTTGGGAGAGGCTACAAAATAATTGTACAAATGTGTCTTACTAAGACACTTAAAGTAACTTAAGTGTCTTAATAAGTTTATAAATTTTCAGTACTAGCTGGAGAAAGCAAAATCATAAGTTAAATTACTCTATAGCTGTGACCTTGCCTTGACCTCAGACTTTACATAAAGAGCCAAAAGAAAAAAAAAAAAGCCACCCCAAGAAATCTCTACAAGGAATGCATTTCTCTGAAGTCCCAAGCAGTGTGAGTTAGTGGTGATAAACTCCAGACATTCTCTCATTTGATGGTGTGCTGCCATCCCAGTTCATTATCTTAATAGTGGGCATTAAAATAGAATTAGGTTTGCAAGAGGTAGGGGTGGTTTTGATAAAAATTGTAAAAAAGAAGTCAGCGAACATAAGATTGAAATGTCACTAATTAGGAGAGGTAACAGATGCCCTTATGAGCATCTAACTCTCTACACCAATTTTCTCTCCTTGCAATTGAAAGGAGTGGTGGCTAGTATTGTTTCCTGAAAACTGTGCTAATTCCCCCATGAAAAGATGAAATGGAAGTGTCCAACTGTGGTAAAACAGGCAAACATAAATCAACTCAGAAACCCCAAGCCTGTGTACTCAAAGGTCACTGGGGGTTACAGGTTTTGCAGCATGTGAGGCTGCACATAGAGTGGTGGAGAGAACTGAAGGAGTCCCATTTTGCCAAGATCTAGCTTTACTCCAACTGTGATTCATCTTTTCCTCTTCCTCAACCCCTCCTTTTATTTGTAAGGAATAACGATTTGCTTCACTTTCTTGGTTACAGGTTTATTAATGCCCGGAGAAGAATAGTGCAGCCCATGATAGACCAGTCCAACCGAGCAGGCAAGTCCCCCATAGTGACTGTATTCAAGTCACGCAAGCGAAAACCATCCTCAAGCCATTCACTGGGAGGTCCGCTACCTGGTAAATAAACTGGGAGTGAGTACTAGGAACGCCTGGCAGTGAAAATTAAACCAGTTTCATTTCATAACAACACTAATCAATTTAACATAATTATAAAACGTTTGGAGAAGGTGGGGAAACAAAAGCCAAGAGAGAAAAGTAACTCTTAAATCATATGCTCAGTTACAATATTCTTGGTACACATTCAATATATTAATGTTATTTTTTTTTCTGAGTTTGCCTTCCCAGCTCTTTCTGCTACTATGACCACTCCCTGGTGCATGGCTTGGTGTGGAATTGCTGTAAACTTTATTACCTGTCAAAAGGGCAAAGGGGTCAGGATCGCTTGTGGGACTCAGTAAAGTTCAAAGACATTCAGTGAGGTAGAGCTTTTGTGTGCTTTAATAACCCAAGGCAGCTACTTCTGAAGCAGCTTTTCATGTACAGTTAAAACATGGGATTCAGGTAGTGGTATAAATACATGGTTCTTATTTCTCAGGCCTTCTCCTGTGAATATCCATCTTCCGGTATTGGACTTTTTCTTTTTTTTCTTGTAACAGTCTTTTTGTTTTGTTTTTAAATTATGAGGTTAAAATGGCAATACTTCTATAGGATCCTGGCCTGTAGATCTGAAAATCCAAGAAACATCTCTCTAGGATTTGTTTTTGTATTATAATATGCCAGTAAGATAACAAGAATATTTGCTAGGGGTGACGTGAGTCTTTACTTTCTTTAGGAAATACTCTCATCTCTTAGAGAGCACTATGGAAAACTATGTTACCATTGCATCCAGGCAATACACATTTAGTCCTGTAACGTTCTTCCAACACACATTATGTGGTCACCAGACAAAACCCAAGCATAGAGTTTCCATATTTTAACTGTTGTTTGAACTAGATGTTTTAAACATGCAGTCACAGAGGTGTGTAGATCTAGTCTGAGAGAAATTTCACTTTGAGTGCTTAAAAAATTATACCAGCCTGCTGTGTTGTTTCTGTCTCTTCTCTGGTATGTTCTCCTCTTAGTCTCTCTTGGGCTATTTCTTTTGCTCTCAGAGACTGTTATAAAAAAAAAAACTATGTTCTGTACTTTTGTAGTAAGTCAAGGAACACCTTATAATCCTGATGGACAGCCCATGGGAGGTTTCGTAATGGATGGTCAGCAACACATGGGAATCAGAGCACCAGGTAAGACTTTGTTTTTGAGGTGGTTCCTCATTTTTGACTCCAAGAGTGTCATCCCCTCATCAGCACAGGTAAATCTGCCTCATCCTTTGCTGTTATCTCAAGCTGCCTGCCTTGCCTTGCCTGCTATCTGTGCATCTAAGATATTGCAGAGGGGAAGCCAGGATCTTTATGCACTGAAGATCTCACTGTTTCTCAACCCTCTAGAACCTGTTTTTTTTTTTTTTTTTTAAAGGGTCTTTTGGCACTATCTGTTGACTTTGCTCATTTTCTGGCCTCTTCTTGGATTTTTATCTCCCTTCTAGGACCTATGAGTGGAATGGGCATGAATATGGGCATGGAGGGGCAGTGGCACTACATGTAACCTTCATCTAGTTAACCAATCGCAAAGCAAGGGGGAAGTAAGTACAAATGGGGTCTTTGTTTTCACTTTGTCCTAGGAATATTGTTCCTCTTGCATTTTCTTATGTTCTCCTTGCCCATAGCTTCATGCTTGTTCATTCCTTTCCATTAAACTCTTGGTTTCTTGCTTCCTTCATTTTCTTTTTGGTTGTGATCAAGCTTTTAAGCTTATAAATACTGTGTATGATGTACATTTATCCTGCGTGTTGCTATTGTACAGTACTGACCACATGACAAAACAAGAAACAGTCAGGAGGTGGGGGAGTGGGTTGTCATAGCAACAGACTGATTTGCAAAATGTAAGCAGTCTGCAGCAGTGCAAGGAGAGGAAAGAGCATGTCCCCAAAGTGTCATAAATCTGTCTAACCGCAGTTGATGCATGAGTTACATTTCTACACTAACCTGCAAGACACCGAAAAGCTAAACAGAGACTTCTTTTAGGTAAAATAAACACAAGCTTTACTTAGGGTAAGTAAAGGCATATTTTGAGCTCCAGTCAACTAAACTTTGATTTTTTTTCTTAGTTTATTCCTTTGTCTGTCCATCATAATGGGATTACGTGTGGCAATGGAAAAAGGGAGAATACAAAATAGAGGTGTGCACAGCAGGCTGCGGGGCTTAGCCCAGGCTAATTGACTATATCCAAATTAAGTATGCCATCACTTGCAGTGTGACAAATGGATTTGACTTATTCAGTATACAAAAATAGAGATCATTAATGCAATCTTCAGTGGCAGGCCTAGTGAAGTGGGCCTAGAAACACTGTCCCAGATTCTCACCCTTGCATTTTCTGTCCTATAAAGACACTCCAGCAATTCGAGTTCAAACAAGTAAAACTGTTTTGAACACCAAAACTCTTGTTCACTTCCTAAATTACCCCTAATAGCACTGCTCTTGCTTTGTTTTTGAAATTAAAAGCAGTTATTTCAGAGTCTTACTTGTGTCTCTGATTATATTAATGCACTATTTAAAATCACTGCTGAGGCCAAGGGTAATTCGTACTGGTCATCTTCTCTGGGTGTGAGTCAAATATAAGTTTAACAATTAGCTCTGAAAACATTCCATTGAGCTGGGGAATGCAACAGTCTTATTACCTCATCACGGAATTCTCTAGCTTAGTTAATTTAAATATTGTTTCTTAGTTTCTGGGTCAATTAAATTTAAATGATGTATTTTATGCTTCGTGACCAATTAAATTAATAGGTTATTACAAAAAATATTATCATCTTTTTTGATTAAAGAGCTGTGGGTACAGTATATTTTATAAGCAATTTTCATTAGTTCAAAAATGTTCCTTTAGGCTAGATTAAGCAGCCATTCATTGCTAGAGCCTGGAGACCTTATTCGAAGGTGTTCATCGTATTCACAGTGCACTATTACTTAGAACTAAAGCCAATTGAACCTACTTAGCAATAGCGTTATGCCTTTCACCCTTGATGATTATGGAGCTTATAGCTCTCAGAAACAATACACCTGTCAGTTTCCATCAACTATAGCAATCCATGCAGAAGACAAGAGGCCCCCTCAAAGCAGGAGGGGTATTGTTTTAGGTCCAATTTTTCTTATTGTTCTCAAAATCATTGTAAGGTGGACAGGGTTTTGAGAAGGTTTTCTTTCCCCCAGCTCTAAGAAACCATGTGGAAAGAATTCATTGATAACTGTTTTGATTTTTTTTTTTTTTTTTTTAAGTACAGGTTTTGCTAAGTAATCACCCTTAGTGAGGCTGTCTGGTTCAGCTTCCTGTGACATGTTTGGTGACCAGCTCAGTGTATTCTTATATTCTTGATAGAGGATATTTCAGGAAACAAAAGTACTTCTTCAGACCAGACCTCAAATAACAATTGTATTCTTTTTAACAAATAAAACCTCAGTAGGTGGACCTGATAACAGTGACAATCAAAGGAAAATAGTGACACAATGTGAGTTTGCAGCATGACGTTTCTCATTTTATTTTCTTCTGTATGAATCAAAAGAATGCTTTACAAGACCATGTTTCCTTAATCACAGTGTTCCCTGGCTTTTATAGGCTTGTCATAGCTAGAAACACACTATTGCTTTTTCATAATATTTTCTTTTTGTTTTTTCTTTTGAATTTCTTACAGGGCTGCAAAGTATGCCAGGGGAGTATGTAGCCCGGGGTGGTCCAATGGGTGTGAGTATGGGACAGCCAAGTTATACCCAACCCCAGATGCCCCCCCATCCTGCTCAGCTGCGTCATGGGCCCCCCATGCATACGTACATTCCTGGACACCCTCACCACCCAACAGTGATGATGCATGGAGGACCGCCCCACCCTGGAATGCCAATGTCAGCATCAAGCCCCACGGTTCTTAATACAGGAGATCCAACAATGAGTGGACAAGTCATGGACATTCATGCTCAGTAGCTTAAGGGAATATGCATTGTCTGCAATGATGACTGATTTCAAATCATGTTTTTTCTGCAATGACTGTGGAGTTCCATTCTTGGCATCTACTCTGGACCAAGGAGCATCCCTAATTCTTCATAGGGACCTTTAAAAAGCAGGAAATACCAACTGAAGTCAATTTGGGGGACATGCTAAATAACTATATAAGACATTAAGAGAACAAAGAGTGAAATATTGTAAATGCTATTATACTGTTATCCATATTACGTTGTTTCTTATAGATTTTTTAAAAAAAATGTGAAATTTTTCCACACTATGTGTGTTGTTTCCATAGCTCTTCACTTCCTCCAGAAGCCTCCTTACATTAAAAAGCCTTACAGTTATCCTGCAAGGGACAGGAAGGTCTGATTTGCAGGATTTTTAGAGCATTAAAATAACTATCAGGCAGAAGAATCTTTTCTTCTTGCCTAGGATTTCAGCCATGCGCGCTCTCTCTCTTTCTCTCTCTTTTCCTCTCTCTCCCTCTCTCTAGCCTGGGGCTTGAATTTGCATGTCTAATTCATTTACTCACCATATTTGAATTGGCCTGAACAGATGTAAATCGGGAAGGATGGGAAAAACTGCAGTCATCAACAATGATTAATCAGCTGTTGCAGGCAGTGTCTTAAGGAGACTGGTAGGAGGAGGCATGGAAACCAAAAGGCCGTGTGTTTAGAAGCCTAATTGTCACATCAAGCATCATTGTCCCCATGCAACAACCACCACCTTATACATCACTTCCTGTTTTAAGCAGCTCTAAAACATAGACTGAAGATTTATTTTTAATATGTTGACTTTATTTCTGGGCAAAGCATCGGTCATGTGTGTATTTTTTCATAGTCCCACCTTGGAGCATTTATGTAGAATTGTAAATAAATTTTGTGCAAAAAGGACTGGAAAAATGAACTGTATTATTGCAATTTTTTTTTTTTTTTGGTAAAAGTAGCAGTTTGGTATGAGTTGGCATGCATACAAGATTTACTAAGTGGGATAAGCTAATTATACTTTTTGTTGTGGATAAACAAATGCTTGTTGATAGCCTTTTTCTATCAAGAAACTGAGGAGCTAATTATTAATAACAATCATTGCACACTGAGTCTTAGCGTTTCTGATGGAAACAGTTTGGATTGTATAAATAACGCCAAGCCCAGTTGTAGTCATTTGAGTGCAGTAATGAAATCTGAATCTAAAATAAAAACAAGATTATTTTTGTCATGCTGACTCCACTGCTTGAAAAATTTGTTTACTGCCCCCCAGATTTTTAAAGATTAATGCAGTAAATATAAAAATTAATTTTGGCTCCCTAAGCCATATATGTATTTGACAATTTTAACCACAAAGTAAGTTATTCCATAATAACCACTGATTTCTTTAAGCTGACTTAATGAACTCCTAATATCAGCAAACTTGAGGCCTAAAGGCACTAAACTAACTCTAGACTCAGAATTACATCCAACAGAATTACTCATCTAATATCAGCGAAATTATTCTTGCACATAATGGCAAATCTAAGTACAAAGTTAAGTCTTTTACTAAGGATGTTACCTAGGATGAGCAGTATATGTTTATTAGGGAATTAACTACACGAATTGAAGAGACCAGACTTCAAAATCTAATTTTTATAAATATGCTCTATGTTCTCATTGGATAAAACTGGTTATTAACCAATTTTCCAGAACAGCTGTACAAAATTTCTGCATGGCAGCCGGCTAAATGGTACAAAATAATATGTTTTAGCTGGAATAGCTTATAATTTTATTTAAATAAAATTGCTGCTATAAAAAGTGCTTCCCAAAGCTAAGGAAAATAAACAAATATTTTAATTAAGGCAAATTCGTTTTAAAAAATAAGCCTTTGAGCAGTGATTGCTTTGTAAACAAAGGATGGGTCGGAGGAGAGAGCGCCTTAAACTCAAGTCTGACATTCAGGCCCGAGTCACCCTATAAACCAGCCCTTAGCAATTCTATGTTCTATTCGAAAAGAGAAACCAGCTGTGGGTTGGCTTTACTAGGTGATGTGTGATTGACCGGCTCACCTGCTGGAGCAGCAATGCATTCTCACCTTTTGTTGATGGGGACTTGTTTCTAAACACGTGGATACGCAGAGAGCAAGGCTCAGCCTACTGCAGCCATCTCTGGCAGCGTCTCCACCCCTCCCCACCCCATAGATGGGATTGTTTAAATCTCCCTTGTTGACCCAGTGGCAATTCTTCCTCTACCTAAATAGTAGATACGAGAAATCATGCTCTTTTGAAAGGTGGTTACTAGCAGTTAACAACCATTTATTTACTTTAAAAATTAATAATAAACTTTATAAACTAACCGTCTATTTCCTCCTCCTCCCCAGTACATGCTCGGGTGAGTTGGTTATTTTCAGCCTTTATTCTTGACGAGGCTCAGGATGGGTGGGGGAGGGAAAGAAAGGGGAGGCGGTGTGGTGGGGAGAGGGAGAGAGGGTAGAGGGGGAGAGAGAGAATGATAGAGAAAGAGAGAGAGAGAGGCTCTAGGGGAGGGAGGTTTACAAGTGAAGAGTACTTAGGGAATATGGTTACTCTGTAGAATCGAGATCAGCAGTGTCCAGGAATTAGAAAAAATAAACTCCTGTTTCCTTGCGTTCCCCCCTCTGTGAGCCATTTAGGTGAGAGCCCCGCTCTGCGCAGTTCCTTTCTTCCCCTGCTTCGATGCCCTCCCCTCTTAAAGCTATTTTAGCTTTTCCTCTTGTAAATTTCAGAGCCAGCTCAGAGGTTATTGAGGACACTTATCCGAAAGAGGCAAATAATAGAGGTGCTGAGAGTATTTTTGATGTTTCTTAAAAGGCAAAAACAAAACGCCCTCCTCTAAACAAGGGTACAGAATTGTACCTGCTTTTTATGTTTATTTGGGGGTGGAGTGGGGGCTGGCTCTGGCTGAATGAGACAACTTTTTATTATTTAAATATTTTTTTTCAAAAAATTAAAAAATATTGTACCCTATCATATTTAATCAGCTGTAATTATAACACATTCAAAATGAATAATATGCCTTGACAGTATTTTTATTGTTATTGTTCACTGCACGATGTTCGACTGCTTTAGAAGCACAGGAAAGAGAAGTAAACGCGCTACAAATGGGGAATTACCCTCGTTTAGCATTAAAATTCATTTAGATAAAATTGCCACAAACATTTAAATGGGAAGATTAGTTCCCCCTCACGCCTTATTGCACTCGCTCAATGGTTCCGTTAAGAACATTTTACACGTTGGAAATTCCGTCTTCTCAGACGGCTTGCTGTTTCCTAGTTACCCACATTCAAAGCAAAGGCAGCAGCAAAGGCAGCCGCAGCAGCAGCAGCGGGGAAAAAAAAAAAAAAAGTTTTGGCAACTGGTCTGCAATTCATCCGCTGCTCGCCCCAGTCTCCCCTCCGCCCACTGCAGTCTGCCCCCACCCCTTCCCCTTCCCCACTCCTAGCCCTTTCCCCTCATTATGTAATTCGCGGAGTCGCGTCCTCGAGGAAACACGTTGCCTAGTTGTGTAGTATTTATATACAATGTTAAAATACAAAGAAAGACCCCAAAGCCAGTAGGTTCCTCTCCGGGTCTCCCTCTCCTGTTCTAAAAGTGTGCTGTTTCTCACATCCCGCACCCTGAGGCCACAAGGCACGTTTTTTGGCCTTCGTTTCTGCCAGGACTTTTCCAGGAAATTCACCACTGCTTTTTGCTTGAAGTAGAAACTTGTGAAAGAATTAGTTTGAAAAGTCCATGCATCCTCTAGCTTTTCCCTCCCCTTTTCTTCTTCTCTCTCTCTCTCCCCCGACCACTCTCGCCCTCCCCCATCCTCCTCTCTCCCCCTCCCTTCGCAGAGCCACAGGAAAAGAGGAAAGTCGGCTTCGACTGCCATCTTTTGGGGATTTGGAAAAACGACTCGGTAGGAAACGGAGGGAGGCGGAGGCGCGGGGAGTGGGGGAAACCCCCTTATTATCCAGTGTCGGAACTGGCTCCCTTAATCTGATGCTTAAATATTTGATGTGGAAAAATTACCCATAAAATTAGTTACTAACAATTTCAAATTGAAATCACTTATCGAATTATAAACGCATTAAAGCTGTATGGATGGTATTAGGAGTTCCTCGGGAGGCAGCGGGTGTCTCCTTGCAGCAAGCCAGGCGGGCGAGTTTCGCCCCGAGGAAAAGCGCCCCCAGTCGAGCCTGCGGGCAGGACCGGGGAGGCGGCGGGGCAACCAGGGCGCGGCGTTCCGGCCAGGGGAGCGGGCGGGCGGCAGCGTCCGGGCGGAGGCTGCGGCTGGTTCGGCTCGTTGGGGAGGGGAGAAGGGGAGGGAAAGGAGCTGTGGTGGGAGGCTCCGAGCCCGGGGCAGAGGCGCCTACCCGCAAACTTCGTAGTGAAGTCCAGGGATTCCGAAAACGAAAAACTCAAGCCCAGCCCTCCCCCTCCCGCTCGCGTCTCCCACGCGGCGTGCAGACTTCGCGCTAGACTTTGCGATCGGGGTTAGTTGCTGTGTGTAGTGTCCCCGAAGTCTGCAGGCGGAGCGGGAGGGGAGAGGCTCCTGTCCTGGGGTTGGGCCCGACTCCATGCCCCGAGGGGAAATCCCGCGGGCCGCTGCGCGGAGCTGTAGCCAGAACAGGCTACCCCTGGGCCCCGCGATATGCCGGGTCCCGGCCTAGGCCCAGGGTGTGAGCGGACAGGTCTTTGCCCCCAGACCACAGCTCTGGCCGCGGGCGCTGCGCTGGCGACTGCCTTAGCCTCCTGCCTTCTCTTCAATCCCATCTCAGAGTCTAGTCTAAAGGACTGTTGACTTTGTCTCTGGAGATGGGGCGACCAGGGGTCTGCGAAGGAGGTTGTGGAGAGGCATCTCCTGGGTGGGGCTCCGGGCCCTCTCTCCTTGGAACCTCTTGGAGTGCTTTGTTATAGCCCAGAGACTTCCTAAAGAACTCTGCCACATCCGGGCCCCGGACTCCAGAGTCCCTTGGTGGCCATGGGAGCGCGACCCTGAGAGCCTGGGGACTAGGGAGCACAGGGAAAGCGCGCACGGCCCACTGGGAGGGCGTTGGGCGGAGAGTGCCGGAGTCTGGAGCCGCGGCTGGGAAGCCGCGGACAGCACCTAAGGACGCCTTAGGCAGGAGCTCCTCAGGGTCACTTTAAACGCTCTGCAACCCTTCCCCAGCCTTTCGGATCCCCGCAGGCCCTCGGCCCATGCAAAGGTAGTAAAAACATCACTTCACGCCGCAAAACTCCCGCGTAGGCGCTTGGATGCCGACGGAGAATGGTGTGGAACAGGGCAGTGGGGCGCCCTGCTTGGCTGGGCACTTTTCCTTGTCTCACACTCTTCTCACATGCCATGCCTTGCCCATTGGCTGTTAGCGGCGCGTATCACTTAGGGTGGCCAAGGTGCGGAGCCTACAGGAGGCTGGGAATCCCAGGGTTTGGGGAAGAAGTAGTGAGCGATATTCGAGGGGTCAGGGACCTGAGGGAGACAGCTGATGGCTGGGAGGGGAGGGCTCCCTTTTCCTCCCACTCTGCCCGCTAGGGCGTCTGAAACATTCTCTCCCTAGGCGAAGCTGAAAGGAAAAACAAACAGCGTATTGAGCAATCAGTTCGCCAACGTTGGAGCTTTAAAGAGCCTTTGCTCTGAAAATACTACCCTGGGGGTCTCCGTGGGGAGATGGGGGAAGCATTTTTGGGGCCTCGGTTCTGACTTGCCCGGCGCCCCACTGGTCGCCCCTCGGCTCGCTGCCTTCTGACATCCCTGCGCGCTCAGCCCACTGCGGGGAAACCCGGGCGGTGAAGCCCTAGAGAAAAGGGATTTAGTTTTAAGCCAGTCTCCCATCGATCGGGTCGGTAATTTCTAGCCCTGCCCACTCGCAGACACACTCACCTCTACCCTAAAGCATTAAGTTCATTACGCGAGCAATGATCTTAATCTCCAGGCGGAAAACGAGTCCCGGGACCTCGCCGATTGGGGAAGCAGTGAATAAAGTCACCTGCTTCGCTCACCCGCTTGGCCCGCTCCTCCCGTGGGGGCCGTGTGTGGCAGGGAGCGTCGAGCGGGGGTCCCTAGCTCCAAGCCGAGGCGGTCCAGGAAGGGGTTAGAAACCCTGTATCTGTTTCGCGCGGGAAGACGACCTCCTGGAAGGGTGGGATAGCTTTTGCTCGCTTTCCTTTTCCCCTCCCTCTGCCTTTCTTCCTAGGCCTCCCTCGCACCTCTGTACTTTCTTCCTCCTCTCCTCCCCGCAAGTGGCAAGTTCCTCTTCTCCACCTAGCGTCCAGAGGTTCTGCCCCTTCGCAGTCCCCCGCAGCCTCAGGGCCCGCACAGAAGTCTGGTAGCCCGACGCTTTTCCGCCCACCTACCTCAACCACCTTTCTAGGCATGGGTGGGTGGGGAACAATCAGTGAGGCCCTTTTGAAGCCACTTGCTGAGGGCACCCCGAGGCTTTAAAGAACCAGATTTCTGGATTTAGGGGCGATCTCTGCGCGCATTGAAAACTCCATCCCAAAGAAACCCAGCACAGCAGCAAACACCCTCAGCAGTTGCCTGCTTCTCGGCCCCAGCCTTGGCACAGAGCAGCGTCTGGCACGGCGAGGAGATGGAGGCAAGCCACGCGCACCCGTCCTTTTACTGGCGGACCCGCGAGGCGCCAGCTTGTTCTGGAGACTCAGTTTCCACTGGACAAAAGCAGGGGAAACACAACGCAAGAACTGTGCAAATCCAGGTTCCCGACACCCCTCCACCCCACCCCAATCTGATTTTTGAGACGGGCATTTTCAGGTAGTCCTAAACTGAACGGCGAGCTTTGTGTGTTATCTAATGGGGGTGGGGATGAAAGGGGAGGAGACTCCCACTGCCCGTTCCAGTCTTTAATGTATGAAATAACGAAATGCCTGTGTAGCAGCTGCTGCTTGAGCCAAAACTAACTCTTTGGAAGACGGTAAAGAGTGAAAGGCAAAGAAAGACTGTTCATTTTTTTTCTTTTGGTGCCGTTTGGGATGTCATCTGTTTCCTTGGCGACTGTGTTCAGCCCCCGGAGCCCCTGGGCTCCTGGATTGTTAGGGGGGAAAAGCATGCTATTTCTGCACCGTCATTTATCACTGTCACCGCATAATGATTCCCCTTGCAGCCCCTTATTGATGTTTGTAATTGCATTATCTCATAAAGGAGGATGATCAATGAAACCGAGCCGTGCATTCTGGGGTCAGAGGAAGCCAAAGTACTGTTTGTCCCCTTTAATACAACAAGTACTCATTATCTTTAGGTCTGCATTCAAAAAATGATCTGATCTAGGGCTGACCCTGTCGGACATCCCAACACTTTCTAAAACGCGGTTTGTATAACCTTTTGCTTAAATGCTAAATCAAGTACCTGTCTTGCATTTCAACGATACAAGATGCTAAAACTGAATGAAAAAAGAAAGCATTTCTTTTTCCTTTTCTTTTTTTCTGGGAGGGGTGCGATCGTCTGAAGGCGCATGAGATTTTACACTGTAACTGCTTGGTGATATAATATAGAAAAGGCAATCCCCATCCACATGAATCCTAATAAATGAAAAAAAAATGGGGGTGAGGGGAAAAAGGTAGGTAGCTGGGAGCTTTTAACAAGGTCGGTACTAAAAGAGCAGAATAAAACCACATCCAGTTTAATTAATAATAGCTATAAACTGAAATAATTCCCCGTGATTCTGCCCTTGCTTCTCCCTTGTAGAGTCATAGCTCTTCAGTTTAGATAAATGACTTTTGTGGCTGTTCGATTCTCACAACAACAATAACTAAATCAGTTGCACACTCTTATCTAAAACCATCTACAAACTCCAGCAAATAAAAAGAAGTTCATTTGTCTATTAAGGCAAGTATTTAGTTGAGCATAAGTGTCCCAGTAACACTGAATGGAGTTCATGTAATCCCATGAAAATCAAGTCATCTTGTTGCACTGAAGTAAATGAAAAAATACAAAGGAGGAAAGGTCCAAGTGTAATTTTAAACTAAATGCATTATTGGACTGTCACAGTGAAAACGTGATTGTTTGGCTGGGATGGGGGCAGTGAGTGGACATTAACTTAGCTCAGATTTAACTTAAAGGTTTTAGAAAGGAAACATGTATTCCAGATTTGGTGATCGTTTTAATTTGTGGAAAGAGGAGAAATGGAAACAATTCTAACTCATCATTTTAGTATACTAGGGGGAATCATTCCTTCAAATGCAGAATTAAGCAAAAAGCTTGTTTTAAACATTGCAAGTCTGTATCAGCAGAAAAAAAGTTTCCAGTCTTCTGAAAATGTGTCCTCTCTATGTTAATAAGAAGATGATGATAATGATGATGATGATGATGATGAGAGAGAGAGAGAGAGAGAAAGGGGGGGTGGAAAGAGAGAGAGAAAGAAAGAAAGTCCAGGTGTTTTACTTTTAAAGTTCTAGATATTTCTAAATTAACCATATAAATTAATGTTTTACATAAAAATATCTAAATGAAAAGCTTTCATTATAGTTGAGAAAATGAGTACGTAAATAGTGTGCTCTGATAATTTGATATTTTGACATAAAACCTTAAATTGAATTATAATAAAACAAAGGGCTAAAATATTCCCCCTAGGAAAAATAACTTTAATAGTAAAGCTAAAAAAGTTTTAACTGTGTTGAACCATTACTTTTTTCTCTGAAAGGTAGATTATCCTAAAATGTATTATTTTCCAGAAATTCTGTCAAGGCACTTTGAAATAATATATGTTTTGTATCATTTAAATATTCTGACACTTTCATTCTTTGAAAATGCTCAAACTGTAATGAATACGCAGCCATGCATATATTTAATATAAATGGTATCTTGTCGTTAACATAAAATATTAAAGAGAAAATAAAACTTTGGGCTTTGTCAGTTAAGATAGAATTTTTTAGCATAATACACTGATTTTCAAAACATACAGTTGAAACTCCTTGATTTAACCAATCAACACAAGTCTTTTTCTTAGTTGGTTGCAGAACTGGCACCATACATGCTTTCTATTTTTAATATTTAGTGTTGTAGCCCACGGTTAAAATAATGAAAAATTAGTCTCGTTTCAAAATTATTTATTTATGGAACGAACATGATTAAAACATAAACACACACACAAACTGCAGCTGCAACAGAAAAAAACTTGATTTATGGTTATTAAATCTTTGATCGCCATGTTAATGTTTCTTTTTCTACCTTTCATTTGCATTTTAATCTATCGAATCTTTACAATTTTGCTGCCTCTTATTTCAATGATTGATTACAGATCTGAAATAAGAAAAACCAAGCCCAGCTTTTCTTTTCCTTTCTTCGCTTTCTTTTTTCTTTCTCTTTTTCTCCCCCCCCCCCCCGCTTCCCCCCCGCCCCAACCCGCTCTCCCTCCCCCCCCCCGGGTAGATTTCTGAAACTTTCTCTCAATGCTAATGTAGACAGGACAAATTAATTCTGCTCTTTTAAATGTCAAAGATATAAATAAAAAATGTTTTCTGTCCCAAACGTGAATATTTTCCCAGCTGCTTGTTTTCGAGTCGTAAAAGATCATCCCAGCAAAATGCAATTAACAGCGAAACACACACGCACATACACACACACACTTGGCGGTGTGTGGAATTTTTTTAAAGGACGTGTTGTTCTGAGTTAAAGAAAGGTGAGAAGTTCACCGTCCCTTCACCACCAGTAGCCCCGCTTCTCTCCTCTCCCTCTCTCTCTCTCTCTCTCTCTCTCTCTCTCTCTCTCTCTCTCTCTCTCTCTCTCTGTCTCTCTCTCTCTCTCTCTCTCTCTCCTCAGGTTTGGTCTCTAGTTCTATCTGTGATCTAAGTCACACAAACAAACAAAAACAAGCCTGGCGGAGGCTTACTGGATGTTGAGTTGATTTCTTGAGATAAGCGGTGTAAAGACAAAAGGGGGAGCGACGCAGGTCTGTTTGCTTTCTTTCCCCGCCGCCCCACTGTCCCTTTTCCCTTCTTCTCCCGCTTCTCCCCAGACGCCCGCCCCAGGTGGCTCCGCTGTCCGCTTTGCCGGGACCGGTCACTTTCGAAAGCCGGTGTGGCGCTGCTTTTGGAAGGCGCCGGCCGGACGTCGGCTGAGCTCCTTCTCCCCAGGGGCTGAGGACCCCTGGGGCTCTGCGAGGCTCTGGCCCCTGAACAGATTGCGCCTCCCGCCTGGCCGCCAGTCGGGACTGGGGTGGGAGCCGTGTTACAGTTGCGCGCTGGAGGCGAG